TCAAGCTGAAAATTTTATTACTAAATTAAATATTCTTCGTATTACTGAACAACAAGAAATAGGTTTTACATTTGTTGAATCAGAATTTATTCAAGCTATACGCGAAGGTTGGTGGATTCTTTTAGATAATGTTAATTGTGCACCATTGGATGTACTCGAACGACTTAATTCTCTTACTGAAGATAATCCAATGTTATCATTATATGAAAATTCAAAAGGAGAAATACTTAGAGAAAATCAAGGTATACATTCTAATTTTCGTTTATTTACAACAGCTAATCTTAATCGTATATATTCAAATAAACTTTCATCAGCTTTTCTTAATCGTGTTATACGTATTTGTTTACCACAAATTGATGATTTTGATATTAAAACAGATAATGATCCAACAACAAGTGATTTATATGAATTACTTTCAACACAATTAACAACAATTCCAGCTGGAACACAACTTGCTCATTTACTTATGTTAACACATCTTAATGTTAAACAAGATGTTAAAGATAATGTTTTAATATATCCAAGTGATTTTTCTATTACATATCGTCTTTTAGAACAATGTATTCATACAATATTCTATCTTATTAGTCGTAAAGTAAAACCAGTTGATGCATGTTATTGGTCATTAATACGTTGTTATTGTTCATCATTACAAAATCATCAACAATATAAATCATTTATTACTAAATTACAACAAACAATAGATAAACTTAATTTACGTTCATCATCAATAGTTTATTCAACAGCATTGGATGAACTCGATCGTAAACAAGCTTTATGGATTCAAGAATCACAACGTATTCGTTCGAAATTTATTTCATTTGAACGTTATCTAGTTGAATTAATATTTAATATGATTAAAATATTAACATATGATAATAAATTTCCTAAATTAACATGTACTCTATTTATATTATTTATTGATAATATTTTATTATTAATGTCATCATCTGATCCAAAACTTATTCAATTAAAACAAACATTAACAAATAATGATAATTTACAAATAGATTTAGACAAAGAATTAACTGATTTAATGCAACAGAACAATATATCGATTCATATTGATTTTAAACAAACAACAAATAAAGGAAAATTAATACAAAGACTTATATCTGATAGTTCACTTTGGTTATGTTCTACATGTGAAGAAATAAGTACATTACTTGAATTATTTATACGTAATACATCGTTTATTGATACACATGAACGTCTTGAATTTCTTCAACGAGCAATATCAATTATTGATATATTTCATCAATTTTTTAGTTCATCAATTTTTGCATTATTTGATCGAACAACTGAATTAACACGTTTATGTTCAAGTGTTATACAATATCTACGACCATTACTTGCATTTAAAGATAAATGTTCCGCATACGCACTTTTTCATGATCCAGCATTTATTGATGCAAAATATCAATTTCGTGTACATTTATTTGAAAATTTTGATAGTAGTCTTGTTTGGTCATTTGAACGTGCACAATCATTTCCAATACGATCAACACGAAAAGATCTACGTAAACTTATTGAACATATGGTTAATACAAAAGTACATGCAAATATGATGAAACCAATTCAATATTTTGCTACACTTCTCGAATGGATTAGTTTACAATGGACATTTGATGATTATCTTACAATAAGTGTACGAAATGCTTTACAGAAAAATGTTTGTATAACACGAGATTTTATTCTTGAATCTGAATTAAAATTTTCTGCATTGGAATTAAGTAATAAAATGACAACAATAATTGGATCTATTGTACGTGATTTACCCTCAGAATCAAGTTCGATTAATACAAATTATTCTCGTTTAAAAAAAGAACTTGAATTAAAACGAGCAGCATTAGATAAATGTAAAGAAAATATTCAAGAACTTGAAAGTCAATTGGCTGAATCAGAATCATCAAAACAAAATGAAATAAATGTAACTAATCGAGGAACGTCAAATTTACGTTCAAAATTATCACGTGATATATCTATTTTTCATCCAGATGAAAATCCACTTAGTAGTCGATTGAATATACTTAAACAAGAACAAATTAAATTAAAATCAGAAGTAGATACATTAAATAATGATTATAATCGATCTAGTCATAATCGTACAGCAGCATTAGATAAAGCAATAACTGCACGTGAAAAACTCTATGATGAAATGAAAAATTTACTTGAATCCGATGCATATAAATTTGTTCATGAACAACTTGAGCAATCTGATGCTAAACAACTCAATCATTTTTTACGATTATTAAGTGAAGCTCGAAAAAATCCAACATTAATTAATCGTGACGGTCTACTTGATACTCGTGCTATATTAGCTACATCATTTGGTCGTGAATTAATTGAACATGATGATATTCTTGAATCATCTTTAATATTTTTTCTTTTTGGTTATTATTTTCTTCCTTATTTTGATCAACGATATCGATTTTTTATTATTTCAAATTGGCAACAAATTAATGATGATATTGATATAAATACATTAAATCTTTATGATTTAATTATTTATTGTCCAAATAAAAATCCATATCAATGTTGTTTATTATCAATAACAAAACAAAATAATGTAATATCAATTATTATATCAAGTATACAATATATATATATTAATGAATTACGTAATGTATTAAATGAATCATTACCTGATGGAATTCAATGTCATATTAAACAAAAAGAATTTGAACATATTAAAAAAACTATAACAGAAAATGGACAAGAATTATTTGGTTTAGCTTGTTTAATGTATTTATATCAACAAGATGATATAACATCGACAAGAATTAATGAAATTTATGATCAAATTAAAATTATTTTTGGTGAATTAAAATATTTTGTTGAACATAATGCTATTGAACGTAAAACATCAACAGTATTAATCTATCAAAATATAAAACGATTTCAAAATGATTTAGATTCATTTAATCTATCTAATAATTCTGATGATTTATGGGTAACATCAATACAACAAATGTGGACATTAATTAAACCATATCAAGAAAAATTTTCATCAACTGTTGCACAAAAACTTCAAGAAGAATTACAATATTCTATACAATCAATTGAACCACCTAATCTAAGTAGTCGTTTAACATCATTAGGTTATTTAGAACCATTAAAAGAAAAATATGGTTGTGTACATATGATTATTCAACATTTAAAAGAAGGTATGAATTCAACAGCTATTGAAAGTATTCCTGAATTTCATATTTTATTTAATTTTGTTAATAAAATATTAAAATTATTAAAATTACTTATTCAACATACAATATTTGGTAAAGATGATTATATTAATGAATTATATGAAAATACACCATTTACAATTCATCATTTAGAACATATTTTTCATTCAACATTATTTGTTATTAATATTGTTAATAATCAATTACAAATTGGTGTAACACAAACAAAATCTATATTTGATGATTTACAAATAAAACTTGATGAATATTTATTAAAATTAAAATTTAGTAATAATCTTTTAATAAGATATAATCTTACAAATTTAATTCGACCACTAGCTACATTATTCGATCCAAATCGACGTTCAACTACAATAATTAATACATTAAATGATATATCAAATGAAAATTCATCTATTATGAGAGATCCACTTGAATTACGTAGAAAACAAATGCAATCACAAATTGATGAAACAATAAAGAGATTAAATGAGAATTTAATAATTGCTAGTCAATTACCTATACAACCACAACCAATTATTCAACGTATTCATACAGCTTTACATAAATTAAAAATATTCGATATAAATCAAGATGATGAAAAGAATTTTAAATGGCTTATACATGAAGAACGAACATTAGCTGATCTTCTACAAAAATTTAATCAAGAAATAAATCAATATACAACATTTAATGTTACTTTACCTGATGATGAATCTATTCATGAAATTAATGAAACTGAACTTAGTTTCAATATTAACAATGTTCATATATTAAATTATGAAAATGAATTAAAATTTTTACAAGAAAATATTAAAAATAGTAGTCAAGGTAATCAATTCAATGAATTAAGTAATGTTATTCGTTTAACAAATGCACATGTATCAAGTCAAACATGGTTACGGGCTGCATGTCTTTTAAAATCAGATAATAAAGATGAACTTCGAGATATATTAATGAAATTAAATAATGATTTAGTTATGCAACTTGAACGTGGTTTAAATAATGAAGAAAATAAAAATACATTTATTGATAATTTTGCATTTGCTTATGCACAATTTCGTTCTGATCTACTTAATGTCGAAACTAAACAAGGTATGCTTTCAAATTATATTGATATTGCTAAACTTGTTAATAGTATTCAACAATGGACAAAAAAAACAAATCTTAATATATTTAATATGTTTGATAATATTAAAAAAATTAGTGATGATTTAAATCTTGCAGAAAATCGTATGCAAAATTTTACAACGAATGTTAGTTGTAGTTTATTACCAATTGATATTCGACCTGAAGATCTTATTTGTTTATTTATACCTGAATATACATCTATTATGCTTGTTATTTGTGAAAAATTCAATCAAATTAATGAATTTCTTAGTGGACGTATTAATAAAATTGAACCATTACAATTACCATCATTTGTATCATCTAATGGAGCAACAAATGGTTTATCAAGTTTTATATATCGTGATCAATCAACATCAACACCATTATTTGATAGACAAAAACATATTCTCGAAATACGTGGTAGTTCAACTAAATTTATTCAACAATTAATAGCTTTATTTATGGAACCAAAAATTCAAACAGATGGATTAATGAATGTATCAACAAGTGTTAAAGAATTATTTCCTATTCAAATAGCACTTTCATTTGCATTATTAATTTTAACCGATTGGATTGCATTGAAATTAGATGATTTTAATGAACATATACATTTACTTACGATGACAACATTAAAAGAAAAAGATGCTGAATTACAAAAAATGAAAACAAATATTTATTATCTTGAACAAGATCTTAATAATGATAAACAAAATTTAGAAAAAATTTCTAAAGATTATGAAAATGCTGAAATTGATCTTGAATGTAATAAAAGAGAAACATATTCTGTTCGTGATCGTTTACAACAATTAGTAGATAAATGTCTTAGAGATAAAACAAATATTGAAATACAAATTCAAATGAAAGAAGAAAAAATTTCTAATGATCAACATCTTCTCAATGATGAATTGATAATATATAAAAATAGACTTAAACAAGAACAAGATCAATGGCTTTTTGAAACAGTTAACTATTTGAAAGGTATATCAGAAAAAATAATTACAAATATTACTGATATAATCAATAAACCTATGCCAAATAATACATCTAAAACTGATATTACTTCACTATTGAATAATATTGTTGATTTTTGTCGACAAAATTTACTTGAACCAACAAAAACGAATCTTGATACTAATAAAATTCAACAAATGAAAAATTCTATTACTTCTGAATTAGATAATATAAAAACACATGTTAAAGATAAAATAGTTGATAATGATCCAATGTATTCATTTATTTTCTTCTATTGTGATTTAATATGTATGAGTCTTGATTCACTTGTTCATTCAACATTAAGTTGGAATAAATATATTGATATATTAAAAACAACACAAATGATTGAATATGCACAAAATAAGAAAAAAATTATTTTATGTAATTTAAATCGTTGTACAAATGATGAATGTAAAATATTTCTTGATCAAGTTCGTAGTGGTGAAGAACAAACAAAAGTATTAAAACATGCATATGAAATTAGTCGTCAAGTTCATACTGAAGTAACAAAATTAGATATGGCATTTACTGGTCAACATAGTAAACATATACAATATTTAATTCGTGAATTTAAACGATTCGTTGGTAATTTACTTTATGCTGGATGTCTTTATTCACAATTACAATATGGTATTCGAGAACCATTTAGTGAATATCTTGTTGGTATTGAAAATGATATAATTGATTCACGTTTACCAAGAAGTGAATCTGATTTACTCAAATTATTAGAAACATGTGAATTACAATTGAAAAGTCATAGTGATGCACTTATTTATCAAACATTACATATTGCATTTACATTTAGTTCAAATTCATTTAGTCTATTCGATGAAATTAATCGATCTGTAAAAGAATTAATTCAACTTGTTTTACCATCTGCTCATTTAATTAGTCGTTCATGGTTAACAATTGATACATTAATTCATAAAATATGTCAAAATGTAACTATTGAAGAAGTTGAAATATTAAAACAAATATGTAAAGATTTTTCAAAATTTACTAATGAAACATGTGAAATCAATAATCAAAGTGATTTCATTAATAAACAACTCGAATCAGATTTATTTAAAATAATATGGAAACATATTGAACAACTTGTAGAAATTCTTGTTAAAAATCGACCAAAAATGAAAATTTTCAATGAAAATCTTCTTAATCGATGGCATAGAACAATGAAAGAAATTTTTCGTGGATTTATTCAAGCACGTAAATTTAATATTCAACGTCAACTTGAATGGAATCAACGAAATGTTAAACAAATTAGTACTTTATTAAATATTGAAGACGCAACATCAAATACAAAAACAAATTCTATCTATCGATTAGCTGATATTGAACGAGCACTTCAACAAAAAACTCGTCTTCTTACAGATATCGATACTGATCATCGATCGTCTCGTTTAAATCGATTACAACATCTTGAAATTTTCTATCAATTAACTATCGGTGGAATTGATAATTTAGAAGCAATACTAATGAATATGCCTATTCATCATATTGATTTATTATCCTTCTTTAAATTATTAAATTCAACACGTGAATTATACAAAGGTAGTGAAATAAATCTTCTTGAACAACCTCTAATTCATTTTATTAATGATGATTTAATATTTAAAAATTCTTTTCAATTACTCGATGGAATTTATCGATTAGAACAAAATGTGTTTCAAGATTTGTATGAAGCTGCTAAAATAGAAATGGAAAATCGTTTCAATGAATTTCAAGATTCTATTAAATTTGAATCAATTTTCAATATAGTTAAATTAGAAAACAATGAATGGAATAAAGCCGGCGAGAATTTTATTTGTTTACGTAAAGACAAACGAAAAAAAATATCATGGAAAGATATAAAAGGTCGTATTCAATCCAATAAGACTCTACAAACATTTGTTTCACATTTACCATTTGTTTCTACTTCTCCTTCTCATATTGATATCAATATATTATTTCAATTTTATGCCAATGAAATATTATTGTATATGGCATATCATCAGAAGGGTAATGACTTTGCCTTCTCGTTGGCACCTCAAGAAGAAGTGAAAGATTTTATTAACCTGTATAGTCGTTATAAAAATTCGTTTAAACTAAGTCCAATAGATCAAACGTTTTCTCTAGTATCTGGAAATATTTCATGGCTTCTAATTAAATGTTCGAATATTTATTTAACTAGAATCGATTTACAGCTGTTGGTTGAAGATGATCAACAACCGGAAGATAATATTCCCTCTAATCAACGACCACCCGATACTTCCAACAATACTAATACTTCAAAGCCTGTCAACGTAAAACAAAAGAAGATTAAGTACAATATTGTCTCTGAAATACCAGTTTTTCTAACATCCAAAGAGACTGCAGTTAAAATATTAATTTCACTACCTAGAATTGATGTCATCAATATTAAGATAGATAATAAACAAGTATTCCAAATGGAATGGTGGAAATTTGCCGTCTCTCAACGCGAACATAACATTAATCAATATTTGAATATTAAATATTTTCAAAGTAATAAGGAATTCTATGTAACTAAATTGACTTTAAATACTCAATCAACGACTACTACTGTTCCACTTTCGAATCAAATCAAACAAAATTTAATTGATTTAGAAGAACAAATTATTAATCAATTGAATGAAAAGAGTGATGATGAAGCATGGAAAACATTGATTGCCAATAATACAATGCAGAAATTTAATAATAACATGAATCAAATTGTACAATTGAGTCGATGTTTACGTTTAACTTCGAATGATTTATTAAATTCAATAAATATTTATAATCTATTCAATAAATTACCTAAACCAGAAATACAAAATAATTTGTTAGATTTGATACCATTCAAAGATTTTTTAGCAGTGGCACAAAATATTTATATTGTAGATGACTTTGAACCAGCTTTAGAACACGAATTTAGTCGTGTATGGACTCGATCAATGGATCGTTCTTTTCAATCGATTATTAAATGTCGTGATCAAGTCTATTCAGATATATATTTGTACGTTGATCATTTACGTTTAAATAAATGTCAACTCTTTCTATTATATGCTTGTGCTAATACATTATCAAATAATATGACTAGTAGTATACAATCAGATTTTAATACAATGTTAGCAGAATGTACTAAATTTTGTGAACTTAAATATTTGGATAGACCAGAATATATACAACATCTTGAAGAATGTCAACGTCTCATATATGAAGCACAACGAATTTATCGTACAATGAAACGTTCATCGAATAATTGGATAGAAATAAATGATCTTTTTGATTTATCATCGTTTAAAATTGAAATCAATCTTAGTAATGCTTTTCTTTATTCACAAATGAGTCGTGATACTCATATATGGTTAGTTGAAAATATTGGATCGGATGCAACACCAACAATAATGACATGTCATCCAAAACCGGCTATACTTGATTTTGGTGTTGCACTTCCTGGTATTCATCAACGAATGACTCAACGAATATATATTCATAATGAAGTTGATCGTGATTTAAAAATAAAAATCGATCGAAGTACTAAACCAACGGATACACCATTTGATGTTACAACTGATAATCTACAATTAACACCGGGTGATATTTGTGAATTAGAAGTTATTTTAAGACCACCGACAAATATTTGTAGTTTGAAAGAAAATTGGGATCTTATTGTTGATGATCAAATTAAACTTTCGAATACACTTCAAGCACAAGCAGAAATTGTTGAAATCGATCTTAAAATATCAACAGAGACAATTGATTTTGGTTTAGTATCTTGTAATAGTCATCGAATAGTAGAAAATATTCAATTGGAAAATATTCTTCCATATCCAGTTCGTGTTAAAGCACAATTAAAACTACCAGAAACTAATCAATATAATTCAATTCTAACAATGGTTAATAATGAACTAAATATACCAGCTAAATCTAAAATATCTTTTGGTATAGCATTGGAAGCATCGAAAAATATCGAAGAAGACATTGAAGCAGATGTTTTTCTAGCAGTAGATTCACCTAAAAATATTAAAGCAATTAGAATTAATGCTAAAATTCGACAAATTTTACTAGAAATTCATTATCAAGGTCGATCGATTAATAAAAATCAATCTCAATATATTTTGACTATGAATAATTTCTATAGAGGTGAACGACGAATTTTACCTATTGAATTTTTTAACAATGGACCTATTGAATATACACTTCGTCTAAATTCACAATCATTAAAATTATCCAAAAATGAAGTACAATTACCAGTTGATAAAAAGGAAAATATCAATATAGAAATTTATATGCCTAACGATCGTATTTCACATACATTTATTCTTGAGATTGGATTTCTCAATAACAAACATCAATATTATTTTATGTTACCATGTGAAATAGCTGAGCCTAAAATGACATATACAACTTCTAATCCACAAAATAAGCATATAATACATATTATTCAAAAAGGTCAAATGGAACTTATTCAAGATAAAAATCTGGGTACTGTACAACCCATTAGTCAAGAAGTAAAATTTAAAAATACAAGTAAAGCAACAGTAACTTTTCATTTCTTACAAACTATCACTGCACAAGATCCACCATTGCCATTATCATCACATTTTAAAATTGAACCCGACAATGTTATTATACAACCAAATGGAAATATATCCGTACAATTTATTTATTATCCAATTGATTTACGACCATTCAATGTTAACGTTCAACTTCAATCAAATACTTCACCTCATCCTATTAATATTCCCTATAGTGTAGAATATCATACGCCTATTTTACGAACAACACCACATAGTGTTATCGATATTGGATTAATTAAATCAGGTACTATTTCGAAAAAAGAATTCTTAAAAATTAATAATATCGGCAAAAAAGACCTACGTTTTGAAATCTATGGATTAAATTATCAAGAGAAATTCGTACAAGCAATTGATATACAAAAAACAGGATCGAAATCGAATTCACAAGATTCCAATCCAACGATTAAAATTTCTCAAGGTGGATTTACTTCACTTGATATCAATATTCAATGTGATCAAGTTAATTTACCATCTGAATATGATATGACTAGACTATTCGAATTTGAATTAGTAAGTCTATGTGATCCTGTTATTGATGTTGATAGTAAACTTGATAATCGTCGAGTGAAAATTATCATTATCGGACATATGAAACCATTACCAGCATTTATTCCAACTCCAGAAGAAAATCCTAAAGAATGGTCTTCACTTGAATTATTACCTTCACAATGGCTTCATTATTTTAGTCAACAATGTAAGATTTATCAATCATATACATCATTAATAATTCTAACGGCTATTGCTTATATATGTGGTTCACAAAAAACAAAAGATAATAATTTACCATTGACATTAGATGATTGGACAAATTTTTGTTTGAATCTCAATTCAGATATCTCAAAAACATCTCAAGAAAAATTGAAATTAAATAATTTTGATGATGTGAACACAATTAGTCGTGCTATTGATAATGTAATTAAATATCTTCGATTGTCATTGAATAATTATATTTCATTTTTTCAAAATTCTATTTTATTTCATGATTCATTTACAAATAATGATGTTGTACGACTTCAACTTTTTAGTGTTATTAATTCAGCAGCTAATGTTGATGAAGCTTATACAATGCAACTTTATACAACAAAATTTTACAATATCTATGAAAATTCTTCACCTGAAAATGCATCACAACAAGCTATTAAATTTATTTATCAATGTATTGCTAATGATAGTGCAATATCCGAAGAAGTACGTATCTTTATTAAATTTATTCGTAATGCAATTCGTTCTTCAACAACATTTAATATACAAGATACATTAAAAAAACATATTCCATCGACAAATACATTTCGTGAATTATTAACTATGATAAATGATTCGTTTCGTCTTAAATGGACTATACTCTTTGAATTATTTTCTGATAGAGTAAGAACTATTTTAGTTAAATTAATTAATGCTGATTATCAAGCACTATTAGAAATACATTTGAAATTAGAAAATGAAAAAGAAAACAATACTTTACAAGGATCATTGTTGAATTTAATACATAAAGCACATGATCTATGGAGTACATTAAATGAAACTAATAAATTTGAATTATTTTTATCGATTTTTGATGAACATAAAATGTTATATCCATTAATAACATCTATTTCGATTAAAAATCAAGCACGTCTATGCGATATAGTTGCTATCACTGCAGTCATTTTCGAAAAAATCGATCCATCATTTGATTTTACACCGATAAATGATGTTTTTCAAAAACCTTATATCGATCAAGTTCGACAAGCACTCGGAAAAATTTCTCATATTTCATCTAATAATCATGATTATGTCATGTCACACATGCGTACTTTTCGATTATCATTACAAAAATATCCATCGGATGACTTTATACTTTCTAATGGTAAAGTTGAAAGTTACTGTTCTATTTTAAATTATCTTATTCCACTTACTTACAATCAAAAGACATTTGTTAATAAAACTATTACAATTATTTGGAATATATTATGTGATGCAAGTAAATCACAAACGACAATTGCCAATATTGTTAATCAAATTCTTCATCTTCTTCATATTCTTAATGAAGAAAAGAATTGGTTATCTATTCAAGAATCTTATTATCAACATTATATGAAACCAAGTTGGGAAACTATGCTTACATTTATTTCAACTATTGGTTGTAATAATGAAATTATTTCATATATTAAAAAATTAACAAATGTTCATGAAGAAGAAACTATGATCAATATAATTTTAGAAATTGGTCGTTTCATATCGACAAATGATGAATTAATTTCATTTAATAAATATCAATCTTCAATTAAATCTTTAAAATTGAATACAACATCAACTATTGAATTATTAGAAAAACTTCGAAATATTGTTCCACAAGAATTTCAAGAACAAATTCAAGCATATTTAACTATTACATCTCTACCAAATATAAGTAAAATTAACGATGAAGATCAATATCAAATACTTGATAATATTGTTAATTCATGGATAAGATTATTGAATATTAAAGGAGCCGATTTACGACGATTATTCGAAACGATTTCATCTATTCTTACATCATTTCATGGTCTTATTGTTTATCGTCATAGTTCATTAAATAAAGCACTTTATACAACAAGTTTAACATCAGCACTTTGTACTTTATCTAATTATCGTCAAAGAACACGTGAAAAATTGGGCATCGACATATCTACTATTCAATCAAATAAAATTCCATCAATTCTTACAACTATTCAACAAACTCTTGTCAAAATTCAACAACTTAATCCATCAATTTCTTCAACTGAAAAAAGCCAAGATATCACATCTCTTTCTTCTTCATTATCTAATTCAGGATCAACATCTAAAACAATACCCACAAATAAAACAACACCATCAACAGAATCCATTCAAACTTCGTTATATTCGATGGATACATTAAAAAAAATGCAAGATTCCGTAATAAAATATGTTCAATCACCATTATGTCCATCGTTTCGTTTTAATGAATCAGATAAAATTCATACTATTATTATTAAAGCACATGATTATTGTTCACAAGTTACACAATGGTATGGTATTTTTACAACATTTAATGTTCTTGTTCATAATCAATCGAATATAAATAATTTAAATCAAAATGAAATTGCTCATAATATTATTCTACATGGTCTACAATTATTACGTGATCTTATTATAATTAAAAAAATTCTTGAACCTATCTTTTCAATAACAGGTGTTCGATTTTTAATTAAAGATCTTAATCGTTTGGAAAAATGTTTTCTTTCATTATCACTTGAAAATTATTTTCAATTACGAGAAACTTTACGACAATTAAATATTGATGTTAGTAGTATTGTTAATGATTTTCCACCACCATCAAAAACTCGTGGACGAAAAGGTGAATTAAATAAACGAAAAATATTCGATATGTTAGAACCAAATGTTTCAAAACCATTATCAACATTAGAAAATCAATCACAAACTACGAAAATTGATGATGATACACCATTGACTTTAGAAGATTGGCGAGCAACAACACAAAATCAAAGTCCTGAAAAAACTAAAGATATTTTAGAATTATCAAAATTAAAATCAAAATCAAAATCTAATAAACGTAAAATTGGTAGTGATTCGAAAAAAAATCTTCTATCAAATATAGAAAAATTAGCTAAAGAAACATCATCTCAAAGTTTAACTAAAGTCAATGTATCAACAACAAGTCATACAAATGATGGAAAACAAAATACATGGAATGATATTGATGGATCAATCGATTTTAATATTGATTTACAAATGAAAGCTATGCAAGAACAATTAAAAAAACAACCAAATCTACTTGAATTATATGAATCAATTAAAACAAAAGGAAAACGAACTCCACCCGATGGTAAACTTGATAATCGTGCTACACTTATTTCAACAATTCAACGTGATCGATGGACATATCAATTACTTGTTGAAACACCACCTATTGCTCGAATGATAAATTTAATTATAAAAGAATTTCGTTCGAAATGGGAAACATTAATTAATAATATTAATACAAATGAACAACATGAACTTCATTGGTGTATTATGATTGATAATTCAGGTTCAATGAGTATTTATCGAAATTCAATTTATGAAATTCTTGTTATACTTATGGAATTACATCGTAAACTTGAAAGTAAATTTTCTGTAGCACGTTTTGGTGGACGAAATAATCAAAAAATGTTAAAAAATATGACTGATCGTTTTACTATACAAGATGGACAATTTGTACTCGAAGCATTAACATTTGATGAAGGTACATATCCAGCTACAGGTCTTGATAATATTTCAAATCGTGTATTTGGTATAGCTGATGAAAATAATCCATCAAATCCTCTTGTTCATCGTCTTGTTTTAATGATTACAGATGGTTTAACACATGATAATGATGATACAACATATACAGAAACAATTAAAAAATATGATATTAATTTAGGTGTTCTATTTATTGAAACAGCTGGACAAAGTACAAGTCAAGTATTATTACGTGGTCTTAAAAAAGCTCAATATCGTATTGTTCATGCAAATGATATTAGTCAATCACCAAAAATATTAACACAATTAATGCATGATATGGTTAAAACTTCAATTAAAACTGATAATCATACAACAATAACAAATTCATTTCCAACAATCAATATTAAAATACCTAATATACCTGAAAAACCATTTTTATGCGATACAATTATTCAAAATTTAACATATGATTCAGCTAATCCAACATCATATATGATTAGTAGTTCAACAGCAATAATTCCTCGTTTAAATCAAGTATGATGATGAAATATTCATATTAAATATAAAATCTAATTATTTAATATTATTTCTATTTAGAGTCAATCACAATTAACAAATTATTTATCATTAACAACTGAATATACTGATTATTCATCGAAAGCATTAAATAAACTTCGTGAATATTATCATACATTAAAAGTATCAACAATTATGCAAGATATAGAAAAAAATTGGATATCAGAAGAATATCGTCTTTCTGGTGTTGTTGAAGATGTATCAACTGTACTCGGTGATCTTGTATTACCATTTAATAAATTTACACGTCGTCGAGCAGCTCTACGTGGTTCATCACTTTATTTACCTGGTCTAATAAAAGCTATGACTAGTGAATGGACATATAAGAAAATATTTAGTTCAAAATTAGCTGGTGGTAAACGTGATCATGCTGTATGTCTTGTTCTTGATGTATCAACATCAATGTTAGGTACACTTAGTACTGGTCTTAAAGAAGCAATTATAGTTCTTACAGCTGCTCTACGTAAACTTGATTTAACTCAATTTGGTATTATTATATTCGGTCGTGAAGTACGTTTAATTAAATCGAATGAACAATCTTGGGATGCAACAACTATTTATACACTTGTAAATGAACTTCGTTTCGATCAAGATGAAGATACGAAAGATGCAGATGCTATTGAAACTGCTATTGATCTACTTAGTCAATCTTCTACACGAGGTGAAAAGAAAATATTTATATTTACGGATGGTTATAGTAATTGTGGTAATCGTCTTGCTATGGTACAGCAACGCGCCGAAAATAATGGTATTGATCTCATAGCTATGGCTATTGGTATTGATCCAACTAATCTTCAATTAGTTTATAAACGATATTTACAATGTGCTACTGTTCGTGGATTATCAAAAGCTTTACGAGCTCTATTCGAACAAGAAGCACAAATTGTTTTGTCTGAATGGGCACCAATAGATAATGATAAGAAACAACCTACTGATGATACAAAAGATACTATATCTAAAGATAATCTTTTCGAAGATATAGTTTCAAAGAAAGCTTTTAGTGATATGATCAATGAATTAGCTGGTGAACGGGAATTGATGTTAATGCAAAGTGGACAACCACCATCGAATATAACAATTGATATTTGTTTTTGTCTTGATTGTACTGGTAGTATGTCACGATGGTTAGCAGCAGTTAAAGGTCAAATGAAAACTATTATGGAAGGTATTCAAGATGAAGTTAAAGTAAAATATCCATCACTTAAACTTCAACTACGTTTTGCTATTGTTGCTTATCGTGACTTGAAAGATAAGCCACCAATTATGAAAATAGATTTTACAGAAAAAACAGTTGATGTAATGAAATTTTTAAATGGAATAACGGCTAGTGGAGGTAGTGATATTCCTGAAGATGTGCTCAGTGCACTTGATACATGTTTAACATTGAATTGGAGTAAAACAAATGCTCGATTCATTGTACTTATTACTGATGCACCTGGTCATGGACCAGAACTTAATAATGATCTTACAAATGATCACTATAATAAAGTAAGTAATTCGATTAAATTTATTAATAAAAATATTAATTCATTATTGAATGGAATTCAATCGAGAAAAAGAATTTTTAAGGTTGACGCAAAAACGTTTTTCAATGACTTCATTTTTGATATTAATTAATCAAAGGATAATCTTATATGTGATTCAACTAAATGATTTTTCTTGGAGTGAATTCTCGATAAATATCGACGTTAAAATGATGAATAATTTTTCATTCTATTTTAGGGCAACGGTAAACACACATTGGACGGTATATGCGATCGTCTATTGAAAAAAAATGAAGAAATCGATCTTATGTTTTGTGTTATTAAACCAAAAGCAACAGCTAAAATGATGGATGCATTCAAATCTCAATATACTAGTAAAGCAAGCGATGCTGAAAGGGCATTTAAAGACATTAAATTATTTGATACTAAACAACTGGAAGCTCAATCATATCATTTTGTTTTTGTTCTTGATGAATCAGGTTCAATGAACTCACATTGGAACGAATTACAAAAAGCTTATAACAATTTCTTGACACGACGTAATGATGATCAAGGTGGAGATGATGTCATTACTATTGTTCAGTTCGATAGTAGCGCGCGTACGATTTGTTTGAGACGAAAAGTTGCTGATGCTCCTCGTACACTTTCTATTAATGGTGGTGGTACAGATTATGCAAAAGGTTTGAAAGAAGCGACAAAAGAAATCGAGAATGATAAAACAAAAGCATCGATTGTCATGATTTTTATGTCGGATGGTGCCGATGGTGGTAGTGAAAATCCCGAAAATATAATTACTCAACTGAGATCAAAATACACAAAAGATCATAATTTTATTTGTCATACGATCGGTTTCGGTGGCGGCATTAGAAAAGGAAGTGAAGAAGAGAAAAAACTTAAACGAATGGCAGATAATGGTGGTGGTGAAATGTACAAAGCAGAGACAGGCAATGAATTGATTAAAAAGTTTGAAGATATTGCCGCCAATAGTACAACTAGCAGTGCACTGATCGAACGCTTCTCTGAAATTCTTTCTCGAGATATTAACACAAAGATTATGATTGATTATCTATAAACTTTAGATTGGTTTTATTATTATTTTGTTTTTATTAAAACGATAAAGCGTAATGAAAGTTTGCTTTTTATTGCTTAACTATTCAATTTTATTTTTCTTTCTAATTTCAATAAATAAAAACTTCATATATCCTCGTATTAACTCGGTATTTTTAACATATCATTACTATAAATGAACATTTTGAAAAAAGTAATTATATATTCGGATAGCCCGTGAAATTCTCTACAACTATGAATATGTACATTTTGTATAGCGATTGTTTGCTAAGAATAAATTTAGCTATAGTAAAGACACCCTCATGGTCAAATTCCCCGGAAATGCAATTTTTGTTCTTTTCCATCCATTTTT